AGTTACTCTGAAAGCAAAGATTATTTAAATAAAAATAATAATAACATCTGAAAGAAAAGATAAATATTATTTCATCATTTCGAATATAAAACAAGCATTTGTTTTCACATATTATATTGGATTGTGCAGGTCGCCTTAAACGCATAAAATACATATGTATGTATGTGTTTATTTTTGCGTAGGCCTTTAAAATGTCCATTGTAAAGAAGCTAAGATTCATTTCAACCATTTCAACTAAATTTCGGTTATCTAGTTATTGAGATATATTCAACATTTTGACAACTGTTTGTTATGGTTTGTTGGGTTATATGCTAATATATCTATTTCGAAATATCATATACTGATTTTTCCAAATTATAGCTTTCTAGTATATTTTCTTTATTTTATTTTAGTCTATTTTCCTGTAATGACTTAGACATTTTTTATATTTGAATTAGCGAAGGCATGTTCCATATATTAGTCAATTCACCTACCTTTTGGAACCTCTTATGTTATGTTCGATTCTGTTTCTGTAAAGCTGATCCCTAAATATATATTAATTTAAGCTTATCAATTAAGCTTTCATTACATTACTCAACAGAATCGAAGGAAATATAGGATTAAACCTATATCCCTTGAAATTTATATTAATTTATTATTTTAAACCTACAGTTTCTTTTTAATAACCCTTTTAGTAATATCCCTATACTCATGTGTCAATTGATATATATCCGAGTAGGCTCACGTATATATATAATTCACATATGTCTATGAGTTGAAGTGTGAGCAAATACGAAAGCTAATTGAGGTGAATGTGCAAATAAAGAGTGCTAATATTGCTGACCTCAATGAAAACGAAAGTGGTTTGAAAGTTCAAAATCTATAAATATTTAATGTGTGTGGGTTTGTTTACATATTTGTTGATTTATAATTTATGATTTTGGCAAAAATAGTTAAGGAATACAAAACTTAAAAACTTTGGAGTAAAATTATATAAAATTTAGATTTTTTACCTTATAAATTTGATTGTGAAAAACTGAGACTTAATGTGACACTAAAAGACAAAATAAAATAAGTAAAATAAATAAAGTAATTCAAGTATTGTCTGAAACGCCTTCAAGCTGTTTGAAAGTTTTTTTATATCGAATTTTTGTATAAATTTGTTAATTACCGTTTTTTTTCGAGTTAATTGG